TACTGCTAGACATACTTGGGACATAAGCTAAGAAAACCGCAGAGCGAGAAAATCTGCATCCGCACTCAAATTTGAAAAAAAGCGTGAGTTACGAAGTCTGAAGAAAACGTTGAACGGTCTCTGCTGGGATGACGACTACACCATAGCTCAGTGGTTAGAGCATCGCTGGCTACAAGCGAGGTTCCCTGGTTCGAGTCGTGGTGGTGACAGTCAGTTTTTTCTTCAGACTTTTCCCGCATCTGTACGACATCTGCGGCTCAGCACCAATTTCGCTCGAGATTGACCAACGGCGTTGGGAATTCCTTGGTCACGTACTGAGAATGCAGAAGAGCTCTCCCCCACAGCGCGTGTTAGAGTTTTCAGCCACCGCGAGCCTGCGCGGTCGACTGGGCCGACCCAGGACAACTCTCCTCTCAGCTCTTTCTCAGGACTGCCTAGCCCGACTCGGCATTCGCCTGGGCACGCTTAGAGGCCTTAATCAGCTGCGGCAGTTGGCAGGGGATAAGTCACGGTGGAATGGCACCCCGCGGCACTCACCTTCCTCTGCCGAGCCGCGTCCTTGACTTATCCCCTGCAGGGTGAACATCGTGCACGAACAGTCTACCGTCTTTCTGACATTGCCACTCGAACTTGACAATAGAAGCTGCTTTTCGTATGTGCAGTTACATTGATGGTGTTTTTGTCTTATGTTTGTGAATCCTTCCCGGAAGCAAATGCTGGTTTTTATGCATTCGTGTAATTACTCAGCGTTATTTGCAATAATAATAATAATAATTTCCCGTTTGTCTCTTTCCCTTAAACCAGTTAATATTATTATTAGTGCAATTAGGAGTATAATCGATGCAGACATGGCCAGACAACAACGAGTTCATGGAATTTTTAAGGATTTTTATGTTATTCAAAATCGATTTTCGTGTTCCGCTCATCAGTGAATAGTATCGGAACTGAGGGTACTGTGTACAACAATAGAACATTTTATAACAGCATAATTAATTGTAGCGACAATTGTAGCGACAACACATTTTCTTTCTGTACGCAAAGTTCAGGATCTAACTTACGGATATACAAAGCTTCGCGGCATCACCACTATCCGTCTCTTTGCTTTTCCGCGGCCTTCCACGTTTTCTGACACTAGCCGTTGTGCGCGCGATGCCCAGTGTCCTTTCAGCTACGTCTCCTCCATTGCGGATTTCTATTGATCTTCTTACTCCATCTTGTCCGGTGTTCGATATTGAGGTTCGTTTTCGCGGTCTACCTCGTTTTCGAATATTGACTGTTGTTGTCATTTCCGTTGTCGTTGTACGTGCGTCCTCACCAGTCCGTATTTTTACTTGGCTTCGCGTAACCCTTCCCGACGCAGACAGATCCTTTGTCAATTTCGGTGGTTTACGTGTCGGTCTTTCACCATCTTTCACGCTGTTCTCAGCTGGACCCTGCGCTATCACGCGGAGGAGGACGGAATTGCAGTGATATCTTCACAGGAAGAGGAAGATCCACCGATGGACTGGACAGCACATTTTGGAGGACGACCACGGCGAGGACGACACTCACGCGCATCAAGCGGAACAAAACTTAACGGCACATGTTGACGAATGCGCGCGCTCAGGTGCTGAAGGGTTCTACCTACATACCGATCTTCACAATGTCGGCATTGAAAGAAACAGATAAGGTTACTTTTACTAAGGGTAGGTAGAACATCCTTCTTCACACTGAAGAAGGGACCGAAAACGTTCGGATACTTTGACAAGTGCCTTATTTTGACTGGATGTGTGTTTGCGTGGATACTTACGACCCAACACGTACCTTCGTTAATAAGTATTATCCGCCTCCGACTTCTTGTAAAATTATTATTATTATTATTATTACTACACCATAGCTCAGTGGTTAGAGCATCGCTAGCTACAAGCGAGGGTCCCTGGTTCGAGTCCTGGTGGTGACAGTCAATTTTTTCTCCAGACTTTTCCCGTTTGTCTCTTTCCCTCAGACTAGTGAAGATTATTATTAATATTATTATTTTGCTTGTTCGCGTTGGCATCAACCTGCATAAAGCAGGTATATAGCCTTCGCTTAAGCTGCCATAAAAATGTAAGCTCATCCTAAGGGAGAGGGCTAGAGGAAAAGATAACGATAACGAGATACAGAATACAAAGAAATCCAATGAGTTAAACATACATGTATACAGTTCAAAACAAAACAGAGCAGAGCCGAAGTTACTAATCGGAGTGACGAATGCGTTGGTTCCGATTGATCCATCAATCGACAAAGGGGACTAATCCGTTAATATTGCAAAGTAGAAACCGATTGCAGTTGCAGATCTCTAGGCCAGGGCCAGCATATTGCCGACTCTGGATAGGTCTCTGCAGCATTTGACGTGGTAATTCTTATCATAATTAGTGATACATTTTTAGAGTATCTAGAGTATCTAGTGTAATTGTATCCGATATTATTGTTAGAGTATCTAGTGTAATTGTATAACTTCAGCCACTACACACAGCACACATAAGTTCCTTCCACTTTCGACGATCCTGGGCGAGCTGCCTCAGCGCAACTAGATCCTCGTGTGATGTGAGGGAGTTTGTGGATCTGGAATTTTCAGGTCGTTGTTGATAGATCGCGGTAGGTTGTTCTTGGGCAGCCTCGGAACCCTGAGGTTCCTGGTTGAAAGTATGCTGACATAGCCTGCTGGACCGGGGATGAGGTGTCTAGTTGAAGCATGTGGCCAAGCATTCTCCACCTAGCAGACTGGATGATTCTGCTGAGTGGCTTGGAGCCAGTGCGCTTGTACAGTGCTTCATTGCGTATTATACGGGGATATTTGACCCCTATGACTGCTCGTAACTGCTGGCGGTGGAACGAGTCAAGTTTCTTTTCTTGAGTCTCTGTCAGGCTCCATGTTCCGCAGTTATAAAGAAGTATTGGGAGAATAAAGCTGCTGTATAACCTAATCCGAAGGGGTTCACGGGCATGGTTACCTCTTAGCCATATCACCCACAGCTGATGTAAGGCACATGTTGCTAGACGTTTTCTCCGACTGATATCTTCCTCCACTCCAAGCATCGATCCCAGTTTGACCTTGTTCCGCCATCGCTCGTCTACTCTGTCCTTTTCTCCTTTAATTGTAGTATATTCGGTTTTGGCTTCATTAATTTTTAGATTGTATTCCGCTAACGAGGATGATAGTATGGGTTGATTGTCGTGCAAATATTGTAGGCTGGTGCTGATGAAGTCTACGTCATCCGCATACGCTGTTTCATTGGGCAATTGAAGCTGATTATCCAATGCTGGTCGCGGTGAGAGTCGCTCTCGAATCAACCTCAATGCAGCCTCGAGGTAGACAGTAAACAGGACTAGCGAAAGAGAATCACCTTGCGGGGTTCCATTATGTGTGACTAATGGTTGGCTGAGAATGATATTCACCTTTACTTTTATTGTGGTGTCTGTCAGAAGGGACCGGATGATGTGCGGCTCATCATGATCAATGACTGATGACAGTATATCGATCAGCCTGACCCTCGATATAGTGTCAAATGCCTTTGACATATCAATGCCTAAGATTGAGATCTCCGACGCAACCCGTTGGCATCTTGCTGATAACCACCGATAGCTATATACCACGTCTCCAGTACTTCTCCCTGACCGGAACCCGCTCGAGTTCAGTGACAAGTACCCGTTGATAGCTGGCTTGATCCGCGTCAGGATGACGAATGAAAGAAGTTTCCGTAGGGTGTTCACCAGGGTAACTGGCCTTACATTTCCAGGAGGACCTCTTTTCTTTCCCGGCTTTGGTATCGGGATCAGTAGCCCATCGCCTAGCTTGAGTGATTTGTCTTTGGCATAATTGTTGAATGTGGTGGCAATGTTCGAGAACAGTGCTGGTGTTCCATATTTGATAAGTTCAGCAGGTATCCCATCTGGTCCCGAAGCTCGGCCATTATTCAAGCGCTTAGCTGCGGTATGTACCTCTGTCTGCTTTTTGGGGTTTTTAAGGTCTTCCTCTGTCCGTAAGAACCCCTAAGCAGTCAAATATAAGCAGTCAATATAGCCCTAAGGAGTGAAATATGCAGGAATATTTGACTGCTTAGGTATAGCGAAAATCAATGGAAGTCAATACTAAGAGAGTGATAATGCCAATTATAGGTGTCCATAATTTGCACACTAATGATCATGAAACTCATTCTAGTGCGAGAAACCCTGAGTTGCGACGACCTGGCTTTGTCCTGCTATGATAAGCATCACAAATACCATCTTCTCTATTGCATTTGGCATTTGGCACATCCAGCACTGGCAGTGCATCCTAACTGTGACTCTAGTAGTCAACCTATCAACCTCACACTGGTCTGATGCAGTGGAGTAAGATATGTTTTACGTTCTCAGCTATCAAGAGGGAGCATCGCTGGCCATATGAATGGGTCCCTAGTTTGAGTTCTGGTGGTGACAGTCAAAGTTCTCGTTTACACATTTTCACCCAACAAATGGACAGTGATATAGTATTCGAATAGTTTTGATAAGAAGTAGATCGTTACTATACAGGATGACACATGGGACCAAGAGTTCATACATGAATAAAATTTTAGCATCATGTGCGAACATGAAAACAGTAGAGTACCTCTTCGAACGAAAGGATCTGTACCAGTCATGCGTGCTCCAGCAGTAGGTTTCGGCTATATAGCATGACTGATGTATCCAAAAAAACATACAGTAACGTTTAGCGCAATTGAGTGGCAGGGTATGAATGGAAACACGTTCCTTTTCTGTAAGAAGTGCAATGGAAAACAAGGAATGAAATAGTGGATATCACTTGGAGTATAATGGCAATGATAATGGTTTGCACGTTACATAATTATGTTGAAGTTAGCATGTAAGTAAGACCTTTGCATGGATAACGGATCGGGCTTTAAAGGACATTGATTTTATTCGACTTGCGGTTGGAAACGGGCCTATGAGTAGCACTTTCAACAATTTTGAAAACAATCTTTCTCTTTTACGGTGTTTGTATTTGCATGGTCTTCCATGTTGTTTTTCACATTGAAAGACTTGTCACCATAGCTGACACTTGATCAGGTTCTCTCAGGAGTGTGGATTCGTTGATGATTTGCGAGAGTTGACATTGCTCGGAAGTCTTTGCCACATACTTTACACTTGTATGGTCTCTCTCCAGTATGGATGCGTTGATGCACTGTGAGATTTGATTTCGTCGTGAATGACTTGTCACACAAGTTACACTTGTGTGGTCGCTCTCCAGTATGGATGCGTTGATGCACGGTGAGATGTGATTGCGTCTTGAATGACTTCTCGCACGATTTACAACTATATGGTCTCTTTCCAGTATGGCTACGTTCATGATTTCTAAGATCGGTATTACGGCGAAACATTTTATCACAATACCCACACCTGAACGGCTTCTCCCCGGTATGGATACGTTCATGAACATGTAGGCCGTATTTGTCACCGAATGGCTTTGCGCAGTACTTGCACAGAAACGCTTTGCCTACTGAGTGAAGTCGTGCATGTCGGGTAAGATTATGTTGCGTAGTGAACATTTTGTCACACACTGTACACTTGAACGATTTCTCTTCCGGATGTGTACATTCATGAGGAATTAGGCAAGACGGAGTAGAAACAGATGTATCGCAATACTTACATTTATATTGCTTTTCTCCAGGATGTGAATGTTCGCGATCAAGCCTATCGGGCTGCTGATCAAGTGACGTTTCGGTTTCTTCGCAGAGTGTTTTTTCTGGTTGGAGAAGGTCAGATTGAAGTTGACAAACTTTCTCAGAAAAAGGTTCAGACGTGTGATGAGTGTTGTTTATTTCAAGATCGTGATGATCGGAATCCGCGGGTAGGCTAGCCACTGGAGAAGATACTGGATAATGTTCGAAGTTGTGCACAAGACCTGTGTGAACGTTCATATCGGCAGATTTGCTGTAGTTCTTGCCATATTCAGTGTGAAACCCTACTTCCTCGTAGTCGGTGTAGTGATCTGAAACGGATTCGGGATAGCAGTTGAGACTTGGTGTGCTTTTACCTTGCGAAATTTGATCCTTGTCCATTGCCGATGTCAAGGAATCCAAACATGGGTTTCCCATAGTTGTGGTTGAAGCAACACTGGTCTTTATATCCTTGTTCCTCTGGATTTCTGATCGAGTGTCCCTGAAGTTATCTTCCACCATGTCCATGAGACCATGATCTTGAAGAACACCGGAGCAAGATGTTCGTGCTTTCCAAGGGTTGAATGAGGTGCTTTGAAGAAATTGCTGGGAACAGGGGACTTTTGATATGGCTACTTCATTACCGCTATTGGGGTATACGTGGTGAAGGGCTGGATAACGAGTACTATAAGATGGTGGAGTTGGCCGTGGAGAACACGCGGTTGACCTTCTGCTTGTCCATATCACTAATGGCGGCAGAGGTGAGAGTGGGTCAGAGTCGTTGCTCTCCTCCGAAGTCCAGTCACAGTCGTCCATGATTTACCTACTTCGAACAATTCTCACAACCGTAATTCTCCTTACTAGCACTACAAGGTATCCTAATTAAAACAACAAATAAAATGCTTGGAAATAGCAAGAAGTCAGTTCAAATAGGAAGACAACACTCCCTAGTTGTAGTCAATTTTTTTTATAAAATAGTATCAGCTGGTGTGTCTCTTTAGTAATTGAAAGAACAATGTGCAAACTCTGCACATCAACACAGTTCACATCTATTTCTGGCACTGACATTTTACTTTAAGCAATATTATAATCTTGTGAAATCACGCGCATATGCTCAATCACATACAAATGATAATAGGATTAATATGAGGTATGAAGAAAAGTGAGAAGGTATGAAGAGGTGAGGTATGAAGATATGAGGTGTGAAGAGATGAGGTATGAAGAGATGAGGTATGAAGATATGAGGTGTGAAGAGATGAGGTATGAAGAGATGTAATACTATGAGATGTAGAGTTGTGGAAGTGTAGTTGGTGGTTTTACACCCCTTACGTCATAAAACAGCATTAGTGTCTAGACTAGACTTCACCATTTCTAGTCACTGGCTATGCAGCTCTGTTTTTGTTTTGGTGTTGAACGTAAGAAGTCAGCTGTGTATCTACACTTGTTATCTCGTCCTGACTGTCTTGGTGTGTATGATGACTCTCATTTTTCTGTACTGTGTCGTGCGCGTTATGTCCAACAGTTGAAAGTCCTTGAGGCAGTTTGTATACGTATTCATAAGTTTGTTTTGTGTAAGCAGAAAGAGCGCGATGTTGCACTGAGGTTGTATTCGTAGGTTGACACTTCGTTCAGTGCCTTCTCACATTTAGTTACGTTATCGTCTTACCTTTTTGCGTATCCTCTAGTGGTTTTTTTGCACTTGTATCATGATGATATTTCTAACAGCTTTTTCTTTTGTTAATATTCATTTAGATTCGGGTGGGCAGACAATGATTAATTTATGAGAAGAAAAAAAGGACCAAAGAGCTGCAGGTTACGCTATAATTATCCACTAACCACACCAGTTACTTTACAGTCAGCTCCTCACCTTCCCCCTCCTTACGATATTTCTATAGCTTAGATCCTTCCAAACTGGAAGGCTATTGTAGTGCGCATTGAAGATGTGCTAGAGCAGGTTGTCAGTTAGGTGTAGACTGTCAGTACCGTTGGTCAGTGTCGTGCAATGGTTATGCATGAGCTGATTGTAAAGTAACTGGTGGTCCTAGAGAATAATTATAGCGTCACTTGTAGCTCTTTGGTCCATTTGTCTTCTTATAAATAATTCTCATTCATACTCTCTCTTTGTGTTGATGCTAGACCAACACATATGCCACGCGTTTTCTCATACCCTTGTTTTGTGCACGCATTTTGGTAGTAAATCACAACTTGAAATGTGAAACGTATCGCATGCTTACCCTACCTTGATTGCTATATTACTTCCTTTGTTCTCCTTCGTTCTCTAGGGCAAGCTGGACAACGCAGATTCCTGAAGAGTGTCATACGATAACTCGTTCGAAGATGGTGCAACTGAAGTTTGGTATGATCCATGAAGTCCGTGTTCAAGTCTCCTCAATCATTACTTGTTCTGCATCAGCTTATTCAATAGTTTCGGCAAGCAGATCCCAATAGGCTACGGATTCAGATGTGGGGGGGGGGGGGCAGTAAAGACATTCGACGAGGATATTATCACGGCGGCCGATTTGGATCCTCACCCAAGATAATTCCAGGAGGGGGTTTGTATAGTTCGTTTCTGCAGAAGCACTCACTGTGTTCCCCACGTATATGCATACACCTCCACCCTTTCTGCACGGGTTGCAGGTGGTTAGGCAGAAGCAGTTTCGTTGGCATGCTCTATCTCTTCGAAACAATGTCATGCATTGTATTGATATCACAGCGTCGGAGATACTGTTGTCGAGCCACGTGTCTGTAACTGCCAAGTTGTCTAGTGTATCCTGCTCCATGAGCTCTTCAATAATATGTGTTTTATGCCTCAAACTACAAATAATAATATGTCCACTGCGAATTGTGAGTCCCTGTGGGTAGGAAGTGGGGGAGAAATTAACATTTACGGGTACTGGGTGAGACTGGTTGGAAGGGGAAAAGGGGCCAGCCTGCGGATTTAGATTACTTTTGAATGGGACCATCTACTAACTTGGAAGTGATGCGGGCAGAACTCGTACCTCCATTGTCAACCATTGACTCCTCATTATGTTACCAATGAAATACCGTTTCCGATTTCTCGCAGTATATTGTACGTAAATAGAATGTAGCGTATTTAGGTGGCATTTGCTGCGAACCCGCGCGTGAATATTTAGGCACTCTGGAGCAGTCTTTACATACTGCATTCAGACAAGCAGAGGACAATATATGAGATGTTGTTATTGCACAATCATTTTTCTCTCAGCTGTTTAAAATTAAAAGCTAACATCTGAGCATTGTAGACGAAAAACAACTGAACACGACTCATTACCTTAAGGGTAAGGGTAATGGGCCTACCCATAAATTTCATATGGCATTCAATTGACCGTAACGTTGGTGTTTCTCAATGGATTTGAGTGCCAGTTTGACCACACACTGCTGCCAGTTTCCCGGCCCTCAGGACATGATTTACAAGTTCTTGCGCCTCCCTGTCAGGTTTTCCGGGCCGGAAAACTCAAATTTCCGGCAAAGTGCCACAGTGTGCGAGCCACCCAGGAGCCAAACAAATGCATTTACATTTTTTTTCACATTTTCGTCCCCATTCTGTCCGTGCACGGGACCCAAACCTAAAACAAGTCCAGAAGCAGCCATGGTTGGTGGGGTAGGACTCCCACAGACCCAAGTCAATTTTTGATTTTTTTAGGTTTAGCACGTGCTACGAGGTCCTACCTTTGATACAACATCCAGTGCTGGGATGTCCACAGCAAGCCATTTCCACAGCGCTGCACACCAAATCCAGGATGCCCTCAGAAACCGGCATAGACTACCACTCACGTAAGTCACGTTTCACTACTGCCTAGTACTGAATCGTACCTGACTTCTTAACACGACTCAAACTTGCCAAAGTCACTAAATCAACGTCAACTACAATAATCAAGCCACATATCTGCAACGTCACGAGGGTGCTGGCAAAGGTTCTGCTGCACGGCGGGCGGCTTCGCCCGCCGCCATGCAGGCCAATACGTGATTTTTTAACGTGATTGTTTGGACTTGGAGCAAAATTCTGCACACTTTCGCGTGTTTCCATGATACGACAAGTTGCGCACGGTCTGCTCACATTCAAACACAGTGTGCAACAAAAAAAATCTTTCCTTGCAAGGGCACATTTTGGCCATAACTCTTGAACGGCTGGTCAGATCGGGACACAATTTTCAGAGAATTTGAAGCTATTCATGCTCTTTTAACTGACATAGCACTCAATTTGAATTTACAAATTCGATTTTCAGCGAATGTTTGGGTAGTCTGCCACCTTAAATATTGTGTCTTACATTTTCATCAATTATCACGATGTATAATAAAAAAAAAATTAAAAAGGTTCCAAGCCTCTTGTACAGGCAAAATAAACACAAGTGCAAGGTCAACAGCTTAGTACCGAGAGAAAATGAGCTGAAATGGCTGTGAAAACAGTCTTATACGGAGGAAGCTACAATGGATGTGAAAACAGTCCAATAAGGAGGAAGCTAAAATGGCTGTGAAGACAGTCTAATGCGATATATAATAAATACATTTTACGAAAACAATTCCAATGTAAATTCACTCGGAAAATTTCAGCGCTTAGCACAAATCGCAAATGTACAGAAGCCTAGGTCAATTGTGCACAATTTCATAAGTCATGGACACATGAGGACCAGAATTTAATTCCAGAAACAGTGTGGACGAAAGCCAACGATAATGCAAGAAAACAAGAAGACGACTACAGGAGAGAACGAGGAAATAAAGCATACTCAAAGACTGTTCAGTGCAGCAATTATGTTTTTAACTTGAACAATACGCAGAACATGCAGGGAACGGCGCTTGTTATGGTTCGGCCATGTTATCAGAGAAGGCAGTGACTCGACATCCTACAAAGCTCTAAGACTTTCAATCGACACCAAAGACATCAAGAAGCCCAGGGGACGCCCCGTCACCAGATGGATCGACAACATCAAGAATGACTTAAAGACAATAAACGTTTCCATTGCCGAAGCGGAAGCTATTTCCCAGGACAGGGAAGCTTGGCTCGGCATTGTGAATCAATGTACTAACTTATCATGCTAAAAAAATATCTGCGCTTACTTGAATATCCTTTTGGTAAATAACATTCTGTACTTAATATTATATTCCTCATGCCTAGGCTCATGGTGGAATCGAGGTAGTTTCTCCCTGCAATAACAGAAGGAAGAAGGTGTGTATTTATTTATTTATTTATTTCTGCAACTCGTGGCATGTCAAGACAGCCAATTGAATTGAGGAGAGGGTGAGACCAACCACGGAAGAAGAGAAAAAAAAGAAAATGAAGAGCACGTACACAAAGTGGGAAGGGATTAGCAACTTAAAAAGCAATGGGATGCTCAGCGAGCTATGCAGCGGAAGTGGTGACTGTGACTTTGTTTACTGGGAGATACTGAAGTGCTGTCTGACGAGGGTACGGAATTTGGGCATATCTGGAGCTTGTCTAACGCTGGGAGGCAGTTGGAGCCACGTGGAGTAGGAGGAAAAGAAAGGGGAATTTACGAATATGGTGGACCTAGCTAGGGGGAGACGAACGCAGCTTCGGGTGGTGCCACCTGAATTGAACCAATTAAGGGACTGTAAATGAGCAGGGTGCTTGTCAAGAAAAATTGAATGTGCCAGGGTGCACTTGGAAGCATCAAGGTAATGTTGCAGAGTGGTAGTGGATGCAGCAGCATACAAGTCTAGATTTGTGATATAACGATCAGTACGAAATATGATGCGCAGTATACGGCGATGGAGAACTTCTAATTTACCTATGTGGGTTTTGTTAATGGTGGACCAGGCAGGGAAGCCGTACGTGAAGAGGGGAAGAATGTATGATTTATAAAAATTAATCCGGCAATTTTGGGGCAAATGGGACAAGAGACTTGACATTATGCCGACAGATCGGCATACTTTGGACGACACATGATCAGCATGGTGAGACCAGGAGAGGG